TTTTTTCAAATTTAAAATAAGTGTATAATTTGTCATTGACTACTCAACCTCCAAAAATATTTTTTGCTTATTTAAAAATTCATAAGAATTGTTTCCAACAAAAAAAAAATTCTCCATTGCTCAAAATCTTTTTAACCTCTTTTGATTTCATGCCTGTATTCGAATTTATTTATCTTCTTAAATATTTTCTACTAATTTGAATGTTTTTTTGAATTCCCACTTATTCTTTTGGTCTCATACTGGTATTTGTATTTGTTTCCTATTACTCTTTTTTCTTATTTTTAGAATCTTATCATTTAATTTAAATACTTTTTCATACATTTATTTATTTTATTTTTAATTTATTTTATGTGTCAATATTATTCTCATGAAATTTATATTTTGATAATAATTATGTTAAAAAAGTTGAAATGAAAAATTTGTGTGTTATTATCTTATATTTAATAATTGGAAAGATAAATTTTATTAAGTTTATCGATTTAAATTTTTAATTATTATGTTTAGTATAATAGTTATATGAGTTACTATTTTATTAGTCACATTTATTCAATTTAAAATATACCACAACTATTTTTTTTATAAAAAAAATTAACTTGTTGAGATTTATTTAGCATGAAAAATAAAAATAAAAGAGAATAACACTAGATAAACTTGTAAAATTGACTACTAGAAGATAATGTACAAAAAAACTGATAGCAAACATATTGTTCATTGATTGTTGGTCAATATATATATGATCAAATTATCGATTTTGCTAATTTTTGTCAAAGTATGTTTCTTAATAAAGTAGGCTCACACATTCAAAAAAAATTATTAAAGTTTATTTTTTTGGCAATTACTCAACATTACAAAATCGACTCTAAAGACATGTGACTTGAATTGATTGTACACCAACAAACACAACGTAAGTAGAATCGATTGTACACTAATTGTTACGCGAAGACAAAAAAAGAAGGCACATGACTTGAATCAGTCTAACAAACGCAATGTGAATAGAATCAATTGTACATCAATTGCCACAAAGACAAAAAAGCAAAGACTCGTGACTTGAATCAATTGTATACCAACAAGCACAATGTGAGTAGAATTACTGTCACGTGAAGATAAAAATGTGAAGACTCGTGATTTGAATCAGTCATACACGAATTACAATGCAAAGACTAAAAAGCAAAGGCATGTGACTTAAATTAGTCATACACAAACAAGCATGACATGAGTAGAATCGGTTGTACACCGATTACCACATGAAAACAAAAAAGCGAAGAGTCGTGACTTAAATTGGTTGTACATTGACAATCGTAGCATAAGTAGAATCAATCGTACACCAACTATCATGTGAAGACAAGATACTACTGATATCGTCTATAAAATATATTAAGGTTAATCTAATATCATTTGTCCAACGAGTGCTTTATCTTAACCCTTATACTTTTCAAACTTGAGACTGGTGGGCAATTGTACCTTCTTGGATATATTCCGACATGATACTACTGATATCATCTGTTCGGAGAGTGTTTTGCCCCAACCTTTACACCTTTCAGACTTGGGACTAGTGGACAAGTGCACCATCCCATTTCAACGGGATACTATTGATATCATCTATCCAAAGAGTGTTTTGCCTTAACCCCTACACCTTTCAAGCTTGGGACTGACGGATAAGTGTATCATCCTAGATATATTCTGACATGGACTCCCTGAGTTAGGGAGACGAAGATAAATAACAAATTACTCTATTCTTAAATCGAGTTGAATTCAAACTAACCTCGTCGCCTAATAGATAATCGATTAAGCTATAAATATGACGTTGATAAGAATAATCTGATCCCTCATACCTAGTATATGACTAACTAATCACACTTAAAGAAAATCAAAATTAGTCCAATCCTGAATAATCTAGTCCAAAGTCTTATCTTTAATAATCAAGATCATATACTAAGATATGATACTCAATGATAACTAACTACCTTATTAAATTTTGAAATTCTCGGGACCCATAAACCCATGACTGTCAAATATAAAAATCTTAACCCTAGAACAAGGATGAACAAATTACACTTTTAAATGGATATTTTTAAATATACAAATAATATTTTAGATTTGTGATAAATCATTAATATTGCATGACAACATTTTTTTTTATTAATAATTTAATTTAAAAATATTAAAATTTAATTTATAAATAATTAAGATAAATAAAAATTAAATTAGATATAAAATTAAAATAATTTCTACAAACCTTTTCATTAAAAAATATTTAAAAATGTTACTAATATGATAATTATTCATGTTTTATATATAAGAATTATTTTTATAAAATCAAACTAACTCTATTAAACATAAAACAAATTAATTGGGTTGTATTTACAAAATGAATTGATTTGATTTTTTTTCCTTAAATTAGATCCGTTTTTATTATTTAGATTGTTGGGTTTGAATTTTTTTTTTGCAGGCTTCTAAACTTTTTCTTCTCTTTAAATTAATCTCAGATCTTCTCGATTATTTTTTTTTCAATTCCATTGCTTCTTTTTGTCAATATTTTGTTTATTATTATTTTGCATGTTTTGAGATTATTATTTGATGGAAATTAATTTCGATAATATATATATATATATATGTGGACCATGGTTCCATCTCTTCACATTGAGTGCCCCTTACCAATCATGAATCACTACAAGACACTCAATGCGTTCTTGGCTCTACGCAGAACACAAAAAGTCACAAGTCTTCGTGTCAAATGCAAGAAGCATCCATATGGAGATGGGCCACTCTGCACTAAAGTCCCTTTTGTGCATATTTCTGACACCCAACTCAGTCTGGCTGACATCTGGGTGAACAACAAATGGAACCTTCTAACCTTGCACACAAATATTACCAAAGACATTGAACAAAAGATCCTTAGAGTTAAAGTCCCCCCAACACCAGTGGGACAAAGACACATTCAGATGGAGCAAGACAATTTCTGGAGAATACACAACCTCTTCAGCTTATAATTGGCTTCAAGGTGACCTTGAATTTTACCCTCACCCCATTTGGAAGCAAATTTGGCAACTTCAAATTACGAAGAAATTAAGAGTGTTTTGTTGGTCTATTCTTAACAATGCATTACCGACAAATAGTAAGAGGAAGGCTAGCCACATGTCTATCTTGGAATCTTGCCCCCGTTGCTCTGCAACCACCGAGGATGCTATCCATGCCCTCCGGGATTGCCCCAAATCAAAGGAACTGTGGAATAAATTGGATCTACTTGAAAAGAATTTATGGATGACAGACAATATCCTCACCTGGGTTACAAATATCCTAAAACATAAAAATACTGTTAAAATCATCACTACTATGTGGTGGGCTTGGAGATGGAGGAACAATCACATATTTGATGAAGAAAAGTGGGATATTAATAAAGTGATCCGCCATGTTTATACAACCATGGCAGACCTAAGTTTTATGAAGAAATCACAATGGGACAGTGATGAAAATAATCAATGGCAACCCCCAGCCGACCAGTTCGTTAAGGTTAATGTGGATGGCAGCTTCAATCCTTCATCTAGTGTTATGACGATTGGCGGATCTATTCGGGATCGCAATGGAAAATGGCTTTTTGGATTCTCTAAAAACATGGGAAGAGGGGACCATATTCTAGCTAAATTATATGCCATTAAACTTGGCTAGAGATCTACTGGAATAAAGGTTGGAGAAACATAATTTGCGAAACTGATTGCCGTGAAGCCATGAAGTGTATAATCGAAGGAAATAACCTTAGACATTCTCATTTGGAGGTTATTGATGAGATCAACCATCTTCGGAGAAGGACCTGTAATACTAAAATTAACTGCATCAACAGAGAAGCAAATAAGGTAGCAGATATACTTGCGAAGAAAACATGTAGCGGAGGAGACTTCACGTGGCCGTCACCGCCTAATGAAGTTATTGAACAGCTCACGTTGGACAGCATGGGTATCACGTAGTTGGCTTGTCGTGGCCTATCTTGGCTTTTCGTACTATCCTTTCTTTTTGAACTTTCCATTTCTACCAAAAATAAAATAAAATATTTAGTTATTATAAATTTTATTTATATATAAAATGATTTTAACCACTTTTTCCTTTGAATATATCATCTTTATAATTATTTCAATATATATCTTTTTTAGAAAAGATTATCAATAGTTAAACATAATTTTTTTTTATCACAATACAAATTTTATATCATAAATGTAAATATAATCTATATTTTAAAACCATTTATTTGTTATAAATTTCAATAATTATAACACAACATATAGTAATAAAATATGTAATTATCATAAATTTTTAATTATATAAAATAAATGATTATTTTTCGCATTGCACAAATTAAAATTTTAGTAACACAAAATATATAATTAGAATATTTATTTATTATAAATTTTAATTATATAAAATTAATAATTATCTTATATATTGCATATGATAAAATAGTAAAATACTAGTTTTATATAAAAACAGGACTTGATTCACATTGGTATATGTATTTATTTGGTTTTAAAAAAATATTTATCATAAAATTTAAATAATTTACAAACTATTTTAATTTTAGTTATTCTTTTATTTTTTTCTAGTTTTATATTTTGGCATGGTTTAATCACCAAAATCAACCTAATAACAAGAATTTGAATATTATACACAAAATTGGATATGAATATATTTTGACATGATTTTAAGCATAATTTAATTAAATTTATAATATAATATGTGAATGCATTCTTTAGTGTAAAATCGTTATCGCATCTCAATTTTGATTTTGAATAGTCAAAAAAAAAAAATAGATTATATCCATGAATATATCTTGATTTCTAAATCAATTATTGTGATCACATCTCAATATTCAATTTTTAAATAGTTTTATCCAATATAACCGTTCTTCAAACTCGCCCTTTCTAGCTCCTTCCATATATAATCATTGCCTTCCTCATCGATAGAAGCAATTGATTGCACAAAAACCCTAAACCCTAAACTTCATGGAGGCCATGACAGTTAAGAAAAAACCAGAAGTGGAGGATAGAATTAGCGAGCTATCAGATGATGTTCTATGTCACATTCTTTCCTTCCTTCCAACCAAGGAAGCCATTGCCACCTCTTTGTTGTCCACAAGATGGAGATTTGTGTGGACCATGGTTCCATCTCTTCACATTGAGTGCCCCTTACCAATCATGAATCACTACAAGACACTCAATGCGTTCTTGGCTCTACGCAGAACACAAAAAGTCACAAGTCTTCGTGTCAAATGCAAGAAGCATCCATATTATAATAGTTGCTCTTGTGCAAATTTAATTTCAAGAGGCAGCTCCTTTTCCCTCCAACCCCTTACTCATTTTTCAGTCGATGCTCCCACTCATGGAGCACCCTCAGAGCTTCTGTGCCAGTCCCTCATGAAACCCATTTCAGGGACCCTTACACTATTCATTTGTTTTGTGCCAATGCTCTCAAAGTCTCTGCCAAAAGGGCCCTTCTCCCTGAAGGGAAACAGCTACATGCCCATTTGATAAAGTTTGGATTTTCCCACATTCTGTCCCTACAAAATCAGATTTTGACCTTTTATCTTAAATGTAAGGAAACTGAAGATGCAGAGAAGCTGTTCGAGGGATTGCCTGTGAGAAATGTGGTGTCGTGGAACATTTTGATTCGCGGTATTGTTGGATGTGGCAATGCATATGAAAATGACTCGAATCCACAGCTTTGTTTTTCTTATTTTAAAAGGATGCTGTTGGAAATGGTGGTTCCGGATGGTACAACTTTTAATGGTCTCATTGGTGTTTGCGTTAAGTTTCATGATATTGACGTGGGTTACCAGCTGCATTGTTTTGTAGTGAAACTAGGACTTGATTTAGATTGTTTTGTGGGAAGTGTTCTTGTTGATTTGTATGCAAAATGTGGTTTAGTTGAGAAAGCAAGGAGGGTTTTTCATGTTGTTGTGCAAAGAGATTTGGTTATGTGGAATGTGATGATTTCTTGTTATGCCTTGAATTGTTTACCAGAAGAGGCTGTTGGCATGTTCAACTTGATGAGATCGGATGGTGCAAATGGGGATGAGTTCACTTTTAGCAGCCTGCTAAGTATATGTGATACTTTGGAATATTATGATATTGGAAAGCAGGTTCACAGTCATATTCTAAAACAGTCATTTGATTCAGATGTGTTAGTAGCTAGTGCATTGATCAACATGTATGCGAAAAATGAAAATATAATTGACGCGCGCAAACTATTTGATAGGATGGTGATTCGAAATGTTGTGACATGGAACACAATTATTGTTGGGTGTGGAAATTGTGAAGGGAATGATGTTATGAAGCTTTTCATAGAGATGCTTCGCGAAGGGTTTTCCCCTGATGAACTGACTATTTCCAGCACTTTAAGTTCATGTGGCTATGCATCTGCCTTCACCGAAACAATGCAAGTTCATGCTTTTGCTGTTAAATCATCATTTCAAGAATTTTTATCCGTTGCCAATTCTCTGATAAGTGCGTACTCCAAGTGTGGTAGTATTGCTAGTGCATGTAAATGCTTTAGATTAACTGCAGAACCCGATCTTGTTACATGGACTTCATTGATAAACGCATATGCATTCCATGGTCTTGCCAAAGAAGCAATTGAAATGTTTGAGAAGATGCTATCTTGTGGAGTAACACCGGATCCAATTTCTTTTCTTGGTGTTCTCTCTGCTTGTTCTCATTGTGGCCTTGTGGCTAAGGGACTTCACTACTTTAACCTGATGATCAGTGTGTATCAGATTGTTCCTGATTCAGGTCACTATACTTGCCTTGTTGACCTTCTTGGACGATATGGTCTTGTAAATGAGGCTTTTGAATTGTTGAGGTCAATGCCAATGGAAGCTGAATCAAATGTGTTGGGAGCATTTATTGGATCTTGCAATCTGCATGCAAATATTGGACTGGCTAAATGGGCTGCAGAGAAGCTCTTCATCATAGAGCCAGAGAAGAATGTTAACTATGCAGTCATGTCTAACATTTATGCTTCTCATAGACATTGGTATGATGTGGAAATAGTTCGAAGATTGATGGGGAACAAGTGTGATGCGAGAGTCCCTGGTTGCAGCTGGATAGAGATTGGTAATCAAGTTCATTTGTTTGTATCCAATGATAAGACTCACCCTAATGCTGTAGAAATGTATGCTACGCTGAAAATGCTGCTTTGGCCAATGAAGGAAAAATATGGTATGAATTTATAAAGGATGTATGATCTACATAATTTGTACTTGCATGGATTATCCAATACGACAAAATTTAAATGTTAGCATAAGTTACTCAAGTTATACAGTAAGTAATTATCAAGAGAGTCTTTCTGAGACGAGTGTATAAATTGTTATAACCCTTTAGTACCAAGTTCAATTCCAATGAACAAAAAAATACTTTAATTTTGATTAGTAAAATAACAATTAAAAGTAGATAAAGATCAATATCTATTTTTTTTTCTTCTTATTCAATGCTTTCCTTCGAAGATGAGCGCCCTAAAGTGGTGGTTTGAATATCAGTGGTTGTGTTTGAACTAACATGCTAAACAAACGTTCCACCCATAGATATTTGTTGTTGTGAGTAAAACAATATGTCAATATCCAAAGTTTTTCGCATCTAGTGAAAGGGCTGTGTCAAATTTGAACCGCGGGTGTTGTTTTTAAGCTACAATTAAAGCCATGATAATCTACATCATTGTGCCTTGCAGAAGTGTTAGTGTTAGTTATCTGTTAGATATATGACAATCAAACTTTTTACCTGCAGGAAACAGTTAATTAACTTTTAATCAAAGGTAAAGAAACTAATGTGAACCATTTGAAATTCGATTGATGATATCCGACCAACTTGGCTGGTCAAATTGGTCCCATTAAAAACCAAGCGTGTGATTAATTTAATTGTGTTATCAGATAGATTGTATGTGCATTTAATTTGGTGATGACCTCACAAACTGAATTTCCGTGATTTAGCCATTCATTCCACTGCCATATATCTTGCAGATCTACAATGCGGGTCCTGACTCCTGAGATTGCATGAAAACATTTAGGCTATTGCTCCGGTGCCCTCTTATTTGAAGGGGTTTTGGTGCCCCTCAGTACAAAAGTTGGGTTTTTAGGGGCAATAAGGTAAATTGATAAATTGACCGAAGGCTATCAATTTACCTTATTGCCCCTAAAAACCCAACTTTTGTACTGAGGGGCACCAAAACCCCTTCAAATAAGAGGGCACCGGAGCAATAGCCTAAATGTTTTCATGCAATCTCAGGAGTCAGGACCCGCATTGTAGATCTGCAAGATATATGGCAGTGGAATGAATGGCTAAATCACGGAAATTCAGTTTGTGAGGTCATCACCAAATTAAATGCACATACAATCTATCTGATAACACAATTAAATTAATCACACGCTTGGTTTTTAATGGGACCCCCAAACATTTATATGCTGCAACATCTTTTGTTGTTTATATTGCAAAAGTATATACACATTATATAGTGATTCGTGCTTTTCAGTTAGTAACAAAATGTGTTGCAAGCCCCGCATGCATTTTCAAAATTCTTAAGTAACATCTTATAGAGACATAGAGAATTCAAAACCTAGAACTTTGAAATAAATAACCATCGTATATAATAAAGCCCACAGTTAAACAAGAAAGTCATCATAAACGATCTTATCTTAAGATTGTTGTATAAAGCTTATTTTAAGTTTATAATTATGCAAAAATCGGGTGAGAAATGATCCAAACCCATCTTCTTGTAATGTGAATTAGCACATAGAAGAAGATTATGCCTGTCTGAAATTACAAGACTTGATATTGAAAAACGTAGATTGGCACACGGAAAGGAAAAAAATGGTAGTAGTAGACTAGTAGTCGTTTTTACTTTTCAAGGCAATTAACAAAGCCTAATTTGAAATTGTTCAACAAGATTGAACTTGGAATATGTCTTAATTGTCAACCAACAACCTAGAAAATTAAACCTTAACCACCTCCAAATTGAACACAGCTTCAATCGATTCACAATGAGGAAGGAATTTGGTCTACGAAATTAATTAGTAATCCTATGTATGTTTATCGTTTAGATGGTACTCAAGGCACTTGAGTGAAAGGAAGAAACATTTTCCTTTCCGTAAATGAGCATTAAATAACTAATTCTCCTATAATTTATTTCTTGTGGTTATAAACATTATTTATATGATGATAATAGATTTTTTTATGTTAAATTTTTATATTAACTTATTATGTAAAAGTATTTTTTTTATAAATATTTATACATTGTTACATAACTTCATATTTTTTTTTAATTTTATTCTTCTAAAGCATAAGTCCACTTTTGAATACAAAATACGAAACTATAACTACTAATTTAAAATTATTAATTGAAATTACAATAATAATTAATATATGTACGATCAATTATAAAAATAATAAAATCTTAATTTTTAGGACGATTATAATCTTAAACTTCTTAATATTTATTAAAAATGAATAATAATTTTTTGGTATGAAATTTTTACATAATATATCACAACCAAAAAATTTATAATTAATTTTTTAGGTTTAAATATGTTTTTAATCCTTCTAAAAGATTTTTAGCTTTGATGTTTGTGAAAAAAATTTCTTTGTTCTTCATCCTATAAACTTTACAATTGTTGTTATTGTTATTATATAATCATTTAACTACTTATTTATTTAGTAAAATGTTAACCGATAATATCATATATTATTCATAACTGTTAGTAATATCATGCTAGTGTGTGATACCTCTAATTATTTTATATGCTCTCAAAATAAATATTATTTATTTATCTTAAATCATCATTATGAACTAGAAATAACTATTTTAAATTTTAGAGAAAAAAGTAAATTTTTTAAAGAGACTAAAATAAAAATTACTCATTTTACAAATATAAAAAATATTTTATAAAATAAAAAATATTTTTCACAAATTTTAGAAGAATAAAAAACAAAAGAAAAAAAATTACACGAATAGAATTAAAATTCGTCCAATTTACAAATTAAAAACATATGGTTAAAATACTTTTTTTCCCCTATACTTTCACTTATTTTATCTTTTAGTTGTTATAATTAAAATAGACATTTTTAATTTATATATTTACCTTTTTTAATCATTTTTAATTTCTATATTTTTTTATTATTTTTTTTAATAATATTGTATATTTTGTGTTAACATGATAAAGATAATTAATTTTATGAGAGTAAAAAAGTTCTAATTTAAAGTAACATCAATAAAATAAATTTAACATTCTGTCACGTCAATATTAAAGGAGACAATATTAAAAAATTAAAAATATAAAGACTAAAATAATCTTTAGATTATAAAGACTAAAATAATTAAAAAAATAAGTATATAAACTAAAATATTTATTTTAAGTTATAAAAAATAAATAGTATGGTAAGTAAAATTATAAATAAAAATATTTAAAGAAAACATATTTTAAGTCTATATAGAAATATTTGTAAATTTTAATAGAAGGTAAAGCTTTAATGGTGGACTTTTATTGAGCAATTGTGAGGAAATAAGTTGATAGTCAACGGTTATACTTTTCATTTTTCAATATATAGTACCACTGACCAGTAACGTACCGTGGATCGTAATTCGTAATAAATAATCAAGGGGCATCTATGCTGTATCTGATAAAGGTATGTAACTCCAAATTCGGCGTGACAGGTGCAAGCATAGTTTTAAAAACCGGACCGGTCATCGAACCGGTTAAGGTACTAGGTCAGTGGGTCAAAGGTTGAACCGGTGGGTCACTAGTTGAACCGCATGACTCAGTTTTTATTTATTTTTATTAAAAAAATATTCATATTAAATATATTTTATACTTATAAATTTTAATAAATTCATATCGTATTTTAAATTTCAATTTTTCTATCTTATTTAAAATTATTTTTATTTTTATTTTGTAAAAAAA